ACCCAAGAAGGACATGTGGTAGGAATGATAAATAAACCTTTGTTATTTTAAGCCAATGAGATTCTGGGTTCATTGATTCCTCCAGCATAACCTGCTATCCTGACCGATAATCCACATCAGTGGCTGACATCAGCAGCTCCAATTCCCCGTTCTCCATCTGCATGCCCACAGCATGGACGTGGAAGACTTTCTGATGTTTTATTAGGAGCTCAAATCTGTTGTTCTTACAATTGGACTATCAGTCCACTTATGGAATCTTAAATCAGAGGAGCTTCTCCAAGGCTTTGGAATCAAAAAATTGGATCTCTAGGTGAAGTAAATGGGGGATGAGGGGTGGTCAGCCAGGCTCCTGAGGCAGGGCCATGAATACCCAGTTATAACCAGCCTGAGTAAGGCCACTGTAAGCAAAACCCTTTTCCTCAGTATAGGAGAGCATGCTGTATGGTAGGTAGCTGCATGAAAGACCTCAAAGAAATAGTGCATCCCGAGAGAAGCCCACTGCTTACTGTCATCATCCGTGAGTCAGTGTGTGTGGCTTTTTCCTGGTATACAATTAATGATTTAATCTGATTCCCAATAGGCATGCACTAATTTTCTTAAAGTAAGAGGTCCACTTCCACTCTCTGAGAATGGAAGCACTGTCTATGACTAGGGGACCAACACTGTCCCCCAGGAAGCGTCAACTCTTTGGTGGTGTCTTGGAGAAACTGATGATAGCTTCCTGTAGTTGGGCTGTTCTGAGGGTACAAAAACCTGACAGTTAATCTCGGTGAGGGCAGCTCTGCTAAGATGCAAGGTATAGTAGAAAACCAGGGACCTGACTTTTTCAACATGTTTGTCTTCCCCAGGAGACTGAATTGTTGGGGTCTCATTACCTTCTATACAACCACAAGAGTTATAGGATTTGGACACTCAACAAATATTTGTTGAGCTAATAAATACAAGAATGAATGAATGAATCCTCTAGGAAAACCTCCTTGCTCATAAGTGTATAAATTCTGAGGAAAACTTAATATCTAGTGATCTGAACTGCTCTGACAGATCAATCGCTTGATATAATAGCATGCTCTTATTCTGTGCCCTTTTCCTCAATAAGACCTGTCCTCTCAGTTCTAGACTCGACATACAAAACAGCTGACCAGGGCATCATAGGCGGGAGGTGCCGGCCAGCTGCTAGGAGTCCTGTGATCCTGAGAAGGCACAAACCCTGGCCTCTGGGCTCTGAAAGGCATGTGCATCACAAACTACTTTTCTACTTACTATAATATGTAGTGACTTAAGGGCACCGAAGCAGGCCCTTTCTGGGGCTGTTGTTAATGTCAAATTTAATTTGGCCAAGAGGTCTTACTGAAGGTTTCACCACGCATTTCATAGCCAAGGCAGTTCTGTGACATTTCACCTCTAGAAAGGTTGGTAGTTAGATGGCAGAGTCCACCCTAAATCTCTGAATCCACAGGAAGTGATAACCAGTTTCCTCAGCTTCTCCAAGAAGCCTGGCATTATGTAAAGCAAGGCCAGTGGGGAGCCATCTCAGGCTATGTCTGGCCCCACAAGCTGAAGGGAACATAAGTTTGGGGTCCTGTACTGTTGTTGTTTCAAGGCAGAATGGATGTGTCTTAGTGTAGAAGTCTCAGGCAGCAATATGCCTGATGTCCAGTACTTTACTGGAACCAAAGAGGCTATTTCAGGTGCTACCTGTTAAGTACTTCCTGACAGCAGGCTTTATACCAGCTATTGTCAGGCTCCCACCTGAACAGGATTCTCCCACTGCTCCTAATGGAGCTGACGTTGCAGGAAGAGGAAGCAGGTGGGCAATGACCAGACATCCACAATGCCCCTCTGGGGAGACACCCTGCCTTGGTCACTGCACAGTTACAGCATCACAGAAGAGATGCCAGAACTCAAGGGCACCAAGGAAGCACCCCAAGACTGCTTCCCCAGTGAGCATAGAGGGCAGGAAAATATTGACTGAAGGGAAGGGTTTGGAATGATGAAGGGAAGAGAATGGATCCTAGCAGGAAACATGAACAAAGCCTGATGGGATGAGGACAAATTAGGTGTGGGATAAAGGAGCTACCCTGGCCAAGAAAAGGCAGACATCAGGAGGAAATAGGCTATAATGACAGATGGGCAGGGCCTCGGGAGGGTTGAGCATAAGGCTAGATCTGGTCATACACACCTGGAGTTTCCTCGGGTGACTTTCATCATCGTCCCCTAACTCTGCTCTTACCCTGGTTTCCTCATTCTCGTTGGAGGCATTCTCGTCCAGCTAGATGCTCTTACTAGAGTCACCTTAGAATCCTCCTTCCTCACTCCTGACAGCTAATGAATCATTAACTCTTGCCAATTCTGCCTCCTAAATCTGTCTTAAATTCATCCTTACTGCCACTCCCCTGGTTCAGAACTCATTATCTCTTGCTTAGACTATAGCAATAACATCCTAATTGGTCTCCCTGTTTCCATCCAAAGTCAATAAAGATTTATAGGATGAAAAATGCATGAATGCTGAGGCTTAAAGTGTCATGGCAGTTCCCTGGTTGCAAAACCCTGCAAGAAACTTGTCTATCATCCACTGAAAACAGATAGAAGCTTGTCTCCAGAACCGGAGGTGTCCTCCAGGAGTCAGGAGTTCCAGCCCAGACTTTGTTTTAGAAGAGATCCAGCCTGCATTCCCTCGCAATTTCCAGAGAGCCTGAGGCCTGAGGTGCTGCCCCCTTCAGAAGCGACTCTAGCACCAGCGGCACAGCTGAATCTCATTCATATTTGCTTCTACCCATTTTTCCTGAGCTCCCCTCAGTGGACTTCCTGATTCAGACTCCTCATATGGAGGCAGGGGTGGCCCTGTCCATCAGGGTTACTGGGAAAGAAGGGTGGCAATACAGGGAAGGTCATCAGAAAGACTTGCAGATGTCTCCCAACAAAGGGTCTCTCTCAACACCAGATAAGCTTGTACACACCTAGGGGGAAACTGCTTTCCTGACTGAATTAACCTGCCTTCCTGCAAGGCAAGCTGGCAGCCCAGAGGAATGAGCTGTGTTAACACCAGATGCAATTTTGCTCTAAAGTTCCTTCCCTCAGAAGATCCTTCTCACTCTCCATATCTCCTCATCTCTCCCCAGCAACATTCAAAACCAAATTGCAAGTGCATGTCCTTGGGCACCTCTGATCTTTAACAAGCTGATTCCATCATCTGTTTCTAACCTGGAGGAGTTTAGAAAATGACTGTAACCCACAGTGGTGTGGGGTCGAGTTGACACATAATTCAGGTGCATGGGGAGCAAAATGAGATATTCATTCAAAGTAAGATGTCGTGGAAGACAGCTTCTCTGCACGAAGAGTGAGAAAGAGGACTGGAGGCAGTTTTCTGAATATTGTGGGTCCCTTTTATCTATTTTTGCAAGAGCTGTTTGGAATATTGACGTTCGGTGTTTTCCCTGATCAGCTTCATCATTCTGGAGAAGCCTGTGTTCCCACAGGCCTTCCTTGCCAGCCTGATGACATGATAAATGGAACACAGTGATACCCAAGCAGGGTTTATTTCACATTTAGCTCTAAAATTTTCACGCGGTTCTTTGGGCAAGACCAGTATGGGTAAAGGGGTGTGTGTGTGTGTGTGTGTGTGTGTGTGTGTGTGTGTGTTAGGAGGTATCAATGTTGAGGGGGAAAAAATGCATGGCAGGCTAGACTGTGTATTCAGGAGTCCCCTTTTCCTTTTGTGGAGATGCAGTTACCCGCAAATACAGGCCCAATGTTAGAGTAAGCTCTTTCCCAAGCTCCCCACAGCATTGCTGCAGAGTCAAATGTGAGTTCCTGAATATTTTTTAAGAGAACAAGAAAGTAAGAAAATATTCGTGGCGGGGATAATGGAGGCCCATCGACATAGCGACAGCCCGGTTTATCAAGCCATGGGGCCATGCCCACCAGACTGAGCATCCTCTCATTCCACAGGCTGACTTGAGAGGTTCGCATTCTAGCTCTCAAGACCTGGCCTGACATCACAGATACTGAGCTAAAGAGACTGTCCTTCTGATAGACCTATCTTTAAATTCTGTCACTTTCTATCTGTGCGACCTTGAACAAGTCAAGTTTCCTCTCTAGACCTCAAGTTTTCCATTTTTAAAGTTGGATGAATAATCCCCTCCTCACAATGAAGGTGAGAGAATTAAATAAACTAATGCATGCCAAGAGTCTGGCAGGCTGAACAAAGTAGGTGCTCAGTGAAGCTGTTCCCTTGTGTCACGCCCCTCCCTCCATCCTGTCTCCTAGTTCCCGGCCTGCTCCTTCCTTGTGGCACCATCTCACAGCCCACTGACAGCAGGCGCCCCCTCCGCCACACTTGGGACACCTTCACCTTGCCCACCTCCACCCCACCTTAGCCCTTCTTCTGTGATATAGGCAGCCAGGCAAGCTTTACTGGCATGTGACCAAGCACCCATGCTTGGTGTGGGCCCCCAGCTTGGTTTAATGCTTTGTGATTCTATTATTGAAATTCCTAATAATTTTTGAAAAAGAGTCCCGCATTTTCATTTGCACTAGGCCCAGCAAACTAGGTAGCTGGTCATGTGGGGACAAGACCAACCTCTCTCCAGGTGATGGACACCACCCTTCATATTGGCCATATTGGTGCCAACCTGGTTAGGTGCCTCTCTATAAACCACCACAGCAGAAGGAAACCTGTGTTTCTTCAGGCCCTGTGGTTGGCGTTCTTAAATACATTGTGTCATTAATCCTTGTTTTACTGATGAAGAACGGAAGCTTTGTGACCTCACTTGCCCACAGCCACATAATTAGCAAATGGTGGGGTCTGCTAGGTGTCCCTGATGCTGAAAACTGTGCCTTCTGACTCTTTAACCATACTAAGTAAACTAAATAGTTGTCCAAGAGTTACATAGACTAATGTGGTGGGAGGGGCTGATTCTTTCCTAACATAATAAGATGTGCTTGTGTATATCATTTAAAAGCAATTAATTGAGAAAAATTCCCAACAGGGAAAAACCTACCACACAATTTCTGAAGGGATTTCTCAGAGTAGGTCTCCCGGTCACATCCCTTCCCAATGTAATTGGTGTGCAGCTCTGTGGTGATCTGGATGGAGGACACGGCCCCATCGCACGTCTCCAGGTGGATGCTGGGGAACAGGGGCACACTCCCCGAGCCAGGCTGATACTCAATCCTCTTGGTCCAGTCTGAATAAACAAGGAAAGGATTAAAGTAAATCAGATACAGCCAGTTCTGCTATGACACTCATTTTGAAAATGTGAATTTGTTCCAACACAACTGATATATTAGGGAACAATTTAAGGATGATGGGAATTTCACATTTGCTTATGCAAGACTGCTTCTCGAGAAATACTAGGTGAATGAAGACAGAAAGTGCACCCAGCTGAAGTGAGCCACTTAGAAATGTACAAAACACGCACATGTACACCCCTCAAATATCTACCAGTTACTTGGTTCCCATTGTGCGAGGAGCTGCATCCACCCACACCTGTGGTTACAACTTTTTATCCTTCCACTTGTTCACAATGCACAAGCTGCAACCCCTCCTATGTCCACTTCCACAAGCAGACACCAGGTCTCTTTAAGGTAAAATATCATATTTATTGTAGCACGTATATATTTCTTAGCCATTTAACCTGTGTAAAACTGTGCTAATGGTCTTTTCTATCTCTCTTTCTTATGTGTCACTGATGACGTTTTTGAGCGTTATACCCCTTGCCCCATTTTCCTCATTTTGTCTACTGTGGTGATTTTTAGAAACGCACGTGTTTTGTCACAGAACAAAAGACAGCATGGTAGTTCGGGGATTATACAAGGTCACCGGGCGGGGTGCAAAGATTCTTTCTTAAACATTCAGGACAGGGACTCATTTTAGTAGGGCTGATGGTCTTATCACCGCTTTTTAGTGGAAAAATAATTTGGAGACGAAAAAGCGTTGGAGAGGCATAAAATCACAATCAAAATGGCACCACACAAAACAGAGCAATCAACAAAAATAAACGCTAAGAGTGAGTGTATTCACGAATTGATCAAAACAACAATAGCGGTGATTGAAAGTTGGAGCTGATTCCAGGCAACGCTCACCGTGACCAGTAACAGCGCTTGCTGACAGCGGTGAGCATCCCACGCACAGCAAGGACGCACGTCTGAGAAGTCTGTGAACCCCAAGGCTGACTTGTGGATAGAAGACTGAATATGAATCATCAAGAAATGCGAGTGATGGATACTATCAGTTTTTGAATCTCAAATGCTTGTCACACAGACTGTTGCTGGATGGTACCCTTTTGTTGAAGTAGAAATGAAAATCTGTGGAATTGCCTGCCTTCACTTGTGAGAAACTCAGAAAGTCCTTCATTTGTGGGTTAGTCTGCAGCCACTAGCAGGCCCCTCACAAGCTCCCAGGGGGTTACTGGCTGCCATCTTAAGCAATACCAGTAGAGTGGAGAGGGCTGAGCTTAGGGGCCAGGCAGATGGCTTCATTCACTAAACAGCCTTTTGTTTGGGTTTTCATGTACTAGGCTCCTTGGCGTATCAAGGATACAGCAGTAAAGGAATCAGGAAAGGTCCCTGCCTTGTAGATCTGGGGGAGAGAGGAAGATAATGACTAAGCTCTTGCTGTCCTATCAGAGAGGTTAAATGCCATAAAAGGAAAAGTGGTGACAAAGAGGGCCTCTTTAGATCTAGAGAGTTCCTGTCTGAGCCGAGGCCTGAATATCAAGGATGAATGTGTAAGAGAAGCCTCAGAGAAGCATGCCCGAAGCAGATGCAGCAATGATCTTGGCTTGACTCTGTTAGGTCAAGAAGTTCATGAGCAAGTTAATGAAGGTCTTCAAGCCTCAGGCACAGCTCATCAGTAAAATAGGGGCTATAGTACTGACCTTGCCAAGTTCCGGGTGATGATTATGTAATATGGGTTTAGCTCTGAACCCCCATGTTCACAAGACACCCATTAAGGGGTTTTCTCAGAGCACACTGTGAGCAGAAATTGCACACCATGGTTTTGAGGTTCATCTCCAGGGAACTCGCCATGGGAGGGTATTTGGATGAGAATGACTATATGCAAAAGAGAATATACCTAACCTTATGTTTTTCCTCATACTCCTCAGGAGCAGCGTCTGGACTCACCCATCACCTCCCTATGGAGCTACTATATAGCCCTTGGTTTAGAGGCCCATCAAGTTCAGTCTTGAGGACAAACCACTGGAGGACAGGAGGGCTTTTTGATGGGTGTTTCTGAAAGTCACAATACTGTAAGAAGCAGTCTACAACCAAACAGCCTTGTAGTGTCCTAGGTACAGAATGTTTCATGCCACTGTGCACTTGATCATGCTGTTTCTTCTGCATGGAGCTCCCTTTCTATCCCCTTCTCTTTTGTCATCTTCTCCATTCAACCTTTCAGAATTTCTCCAGTCAGGGTAGAAACCCTCCATTGTGCTCTCACATAGACTACGGCATCAGATTCCAAGCTGCCTGGTTACTCTGAATTCCTATCGTGTTGCACAATACTTGGCCTAGAGTAGATGTTCGCTAGATAGTGGTAGAAAGTGCAGATGAATCCTATAGGATATCATATTGAAATTACCCATCTGTGTGCCTGCCTCCCCCAGTAACTGGACACTCTATTTAAAGTTAGAGATTGTGATATTTATTTTTGATCCTTCCACATCTAGCTCAGAGCACAGGAAATATTTGCCAGCTGGGACGCCCTAGACACCTCACCTTGATTGTTGCTATGGCAGCTCTTCTTGAGCCACAGACAGAACTCACAGCCTGTGCTCAGCCCCTATCCTCAGTCCTGTGGAACCATCCCCCAACAGCAGCCATAACATGTTTGGTTTTCTTTGTTCTGAGCAAGGCAACCGGTCCAGCATTGATGATGGAGGAATCTGCTTCCTAATAACATGAGATGGCATCAAGGAGGCAATCTCTTTTCCTTCCCTCCCTCACTCCTCTTTCTCTGGGTCCCCCCTTTAGAGATGCAGATAAAAAAAAATGGAGAAAGTGATGTTGTGCATGGAAGCTCTCCTCCTTCTGCTAGTATATAAGAGATGCCCCATAACACCTGCTTCTGGAAGCTTCTTCTGTTGGAGAAACCCAAGACTTTCTTGGTATCACTTTCCTTTATTCTGTGGGGTCTGTGGGCACCTTTCTCTCATCTAGATATTTTGGTGGTTACTTTTGATGAGAAATTCTACCTTAAACTTTTTTTTAGAAGGAGTGCAAATAAAGAAGCAAATAAATAATGAAGGGAAAGTAAATGGAGGCACTGTCCTAGCAGAGTTTTCGATCCTCTTGCCATCCAGTGGCTAGAGGGACAAGGACCTCCATGAGGAGAAATCAGGCACAAACAGAGTTCTTGGGAACATCACATCTGCCGGTTGCTTTGGTGACCTCATGAGGCTTGCCTTTGAGGGTTTATGAGAAGCAGGCAAAATTGCAACCATATAGCGAAAGAAATCAATGAAGCTTTCTGAGTGTAGTATCCTTAAGAGAGTAGGAAGCTCACACAAACATCTTTCATTTTCCTAGAAGGAAATGGGATGGGGATTAAGAGAGCAAAAGCAAGTCATCAAGTTTAGCCTTTGCCGCATGAAATGTCTATTCATCCTCATTTCCTGGAAGGCTGGATAGCATGATGGTTAAAAATATAACCTCTAAATTCAGCCTGTCTGAATTCAAATCCCAGCTCTCCCAGTTCCTGTATAATTTGGGGCAAATCGCTTACTCTCCTTTAGCTTTAGTTTCCTCTTCTATAAAAGTAATACCCACCACCCAGGATTTTTATTTTTGGGTGGGGGTATTAAATGTAGAATCATTTTAGCACCAAATGCAAGGGACATATTCAATCAGTGTATGATTATTAAGATATCATTTATTCAATAATATTTATTGCAGTAATAAGAGGACTTGCAATCATTAAGCACCTATAAGCACTTTTACTTCTATTTTTTCATTTAATCTTCTCAGCAACCCAGTGAGTGGGTGTTATTATCTTAATTGCACAGGTGATAAAACCATGGCTGAAAGTTGGTGTGGTTTGCCCAAGATGGGGAGCAGGGGAATAATAGCTAAGGGTAAAGGAGGTCAGATATATGGTGACAGAAGGAAATTTAACTTTGGGTGGTGAACACAATGCGATATACATATGACATATTACTGAATTGTATTCTTGAAACCTATATAATTTTACTAGCCAATGTCATTCCAATCAATGTAATTAAAAATAAATAAAATAGCTCTTCTATAATTCTGAGGATTTGCCAGACCTGAGAATAATGGTAGTTTTTGAGATTCATTTTTGAACATTCCATGTATCCTGACATAAAAACAAAAAAGGTGATAAACTCCGATGTTGGCAAAGGATCAAGGAATGCTGTCGGTTTCATCACTGCTTGACCTCGAGGGCAGTTTGTGGGGGCTGAGGGGCTGCTTTGACACTGAAGACTGGAGAGATCTGGCCTTGAATCTCAACTCCCCCCAATGCAGGTCAAGCGACCTTTACAAAGCAGTTGTCATCTCTAGGCCTCCAATGCCTCATCTGTAGATTTGAGATAATTATGCATCTTTAGGGGCTTGGCGTGAGCATTGAAGCCTAAGGGCCCAGCAAAGAAATCTGGTTGAAACCTCATGATAGGAATGTCCCACTCCTTGGTTCACAAGCTCCCCAACTTCTCTGAGCTGTCCTGCTTGGAAACGAAATCTTTTTAGCTTATAAAGGGACTAGAGACTAGTTTATAAATTGTAGTTCAATTTGTTTCTTAGGTGAATAAAAAGGAAGCAGACCACCTGTTGTTTTAATAACCAGGCTCAATTAAATCGTAAGTAGTCCTAAAAAAGCTAACATTGAAATGCCTGCAAGTTAAAGTCTTTCTCTGTGGATTAAGGATTTAGAAACATGATGATTTTATTATAACTCCTGCTAAATTTGGGAAACATATGTTTTCTTATCAGGAGAATATTAACTAGGAATTCTCATACTAGAAGCCTGGAGGTGGAAAAAAAAGCTAATCCGAGACTTCTGGAAAGCACAGGCTTTGAGGGCTCTTGTAATCCAAGACATTCAGGTCCATTGTTCCAATTCTGCATGAATGGGAAAGGCGCAGGTGTGTCAAAACACTTCTTTTTACTTAATTGCATGTTCAGGGGCCTCCAGCTCTTCCCAGTCTCAGGTTTCAGCAGCTGAAGA